ACCGAATGCTCAGTGGCCTCCTCTGTAGCCTGTCTCGCGATCGAGTCCTCGGTCGCTGAAAAATCGACAGCCGATGCACCCTCAGGAGCAGGTTCAACGGCCTCAGCAAGGCGCTCTCTGGGCTCACCTGTCACGGTATCGACGGATTCTCCCTCAAGCTCAACTTCCTCTTCGGGGATGTCGTCGTCAGCCGACTCCTCCTCGGGCTCGGGGCTTTCAGGAACCCAAACCCACAACTGTCGCCACTCTCCGCGAGCCCGTGATCGCGATCTCTCGTTCCGACCACGCTCAACGTACTCGCCCTCCTCCTCTGTCTCGCTTGGTGGCCTCGGCGGTGCACGCCGGGTTTTGCACGTTTCCGTAACGTGGGGCGGCGGGTGCCGCGGCTGACGCGGGGACCTGGCACGATAGACCTCTCGGTGCCTCGGCCAGTCTCTGCTGTCGCGACTTGCGTCGCGAGCACGACCACGCCCACGAGCAACTCGTCTGTATTCAACACCGCGATCTCGATGCTGATCTCGGTCCGCACCTCTTCCACGGTCTTCTGTCGGGAGACCACGCTCCCTTCTTGACAGCTGACTTGGTCTGTTCGGATCCCCTCCTCGGGGACCACGTCGTCTCCGGGAGCGCTCACGCTCGCGCTCACGCGGGGGCATGGATCGCGCTCGGACGCGCGAGGCGACAAGTGTTCGAAAGAAGTTTCAACACAATGCCAATGTTTTCGTTTGACAAGCTTGTCTCTATCCTTGTATATGGTCTCGTTTCTTCAACCAATGGTCTCCTTGTAGCTCTTGCGGCTGATAACCAGTTAAACTCTGGAACCTGTCTTTCCTATGCAAAGGCAGCGGTCGATACGGTCTCGAACGACATTCAACGGCCAATGCACCTTTTCTCAAGTTCTTGAGCCAAATCAGGTTGGCGTCCAGTGATACAGTGCAACGGCAAAGCCGATTACCGATGATGCAAGTCTTTACATGACAATTTCAGTCTTGGATAAGTGTTCCTAGACATCAACTATACATGACGTGTCATCTATACATGAAGTGTGCAACCTCACTCAAGCTCAGTGCTTCTTGGGGACGTTTCTAGCTGAGGGATTTCTTCTACATATTAACCTATATAAACGAGTTTAATTCATATAGCCCATCTTGGTTCCATGATCATACGCCCGAATGCTTGCCAAAGAACGACTCGATCTGCAGTTTCTTGTACCCTATCTCAGCCTCTGTCACGCTACATCACTACGGCACTAGCACTTGGTCATCCCGCACCATCATTTCCACCGTATCGTCCGCCGGGAACCGCCCCCCTGATGACGAAGGTCAGGGCGACTTCGGCGCCGGCTCCCAAGAAGGCATGCCCGAAAAGCTCACAGAAAAATGATTTGCCAGCGAGAGATGAAACAGTGGGCTGGTTGAGCGGCTGCTGAGAATGATCAACATGTGCATCATGTTGTGTAGTAAGTAGGAAGCGCCCTAATTGGCTAATCAGCTAATCCTTGTGATGCTGAGCACATGCAAGCTCAGTCATGTTGGGAGGGAGTGATGTCATTGCCTCTAAACTTGGCGTTTTCTATAGCCGTTGCTACCGTGACCCCAACCTCCAGCTACGAAACATAATGTAAAAGAAGCAAAAACAGTTGCCCATAGAAATCTGTTTTCGTATCGGACTTCAGTTGAGGCGTTCGGTCTAGCTGGCATAAACTTGACTCTTTGAGCAACAGCCAAATGTTGGAAGTTCACCTACCTGCATTCAGTTCGCAACCGAGATCGAATTCATACATGGGGGTTCCATGGTGTCTGAGGAAACCACCGTCCAACTGCCGATAGGTATGAAACCACGTGTCTACCGGAGTCTATCACCCAAATACCCAAAGTCCAATCTCTCGCACGCGAGGCACGGCCCAAGCCCTTGCTCGGGCGCGAGGAAGGATGTTGAAATCGATCATGGATGATCTTCAAGTGCCAAGAGCTAGAATTCATGGGCAAGCCTTAAATGTGTTGATTTCATGTTCACTTGCATCACTGGTTGGTGGGCCTGACCAATCACCCATGGGGGATGTCTCAAAACGTCTCAAACGTTCAGAATTTCTTATTTGGTAGGCATCGGTAGGAAGTGATGAGTATGAGGCCTTCAGGCACCATGTCCTCATCCATTCCACTGCGCGTGTGGGTGTGAGGCCTTCAGGCTCGACCCCGGCACGCATCAAAAGCGATCGCGATCGGATTCAGCCAGTTGGAGGATGTGGATCGAATCGTTCAATTAAACTGGACATGATGCAAGTGCGAGAGAAGCCTACAAACTAAATCAAACTAGGAGCTTGTACCATAGTTATATATATATAATCCCCGGTGATTGATGGGTTCGATGCTTTACAGAGCATTTCATAGAGAAATGGTGGCTATGGAATGAGTTACAAAGGATCAAAACATAAAAAATATAATGGAAACCAGGTGCTACTATAATGTGGGATTTCAACTCAAGACATATCTACATCAGTAGTTGTGCACATAACTGCTCAGCTCAAACAGGACTTCTTTTTCACTTGACGGACGTTGCGGATCAGGTTCTGTCATCTGCCACCTGAAGAATCACCGCCCCTATAACAATCAAGTCCACTATAAAATGGAATTCTAACATCCATAAACCAAGTTAACAAGGCACCTCAGATCCACTATGAAATGGAATTTCAACATCCATCTATATGTTTATTTTGGTTACTCAACATCACCAGCTTTCCTTCTATAAAATGGTACTTCAGGTCACATGCTCGTTTGCCCCGCTGGCCCTGCTCTATGAGATGAGCCCCTGAAACCCCATATCATAGAGGTAAAGGATCCCCATTTCACCATGGCTTATATATATAGAGAGAGAAATGCACTTGGCCCACGGAAACATGTTTGCATGCGACTGTCGTATAGACGCCGTCAATCGGTGTGATTGTTGTTTGGTGGGGGGCACTTTGAAATTTCAGGGTGTGACAGCACTATGACTTCATGCCGGCATAGATGGACATACCCAATCGTCCAGGTCAACCCAAAAAGGGCTTGCAGCCTCGGAACAAATTCTCTCTCTCTCTATATGTATATGTTTAGAAATTTCTATATTCTCTACCCGTTGCACTGGAATGGCAAAGTGGTGTTTCAACTCCTTTTTGCTTTAGGTCTTCCCCCTTTGTTTAAGCTACAACCCCCGCAGAGCTGAATCCTTTCGAATCTGCAAGGCCTTCTGGCAGCACTTCATGCAAGGACCAACTCCAATCTCATAAACCCAACCCTCTCCAAAGCCGGGCTTCGGCGATGTATCAGCTCCAGAATTACCACAAGTATCAAATGACCCACGTGAACCTTCTTCGCTGTTCCTTGTGCTTTTGCATTGCATGCTGCATTTGAGAACAACCGTGCAATCATGTACCAGACCATCTAAGAACCCAACTTGCTTTCAGTTGTAGTCCATGCGTTCCTTGCCCATGGCTAAAGGAAAAAGGGGAGTTTGTTGTTTCTGTGTCTCGCTGCTCATAATGAATACGTGTCTGACTCCAACTTCTGACCTCCCAGTCAATGAAAGCGACCAAACTGGAACCTGTCACCCTATCACCGCTCGACTGACTGATCAGCGGAGAAATAAGCTCCCACCCATGGATTTATACAAAAGGACAAATCTGCACAACGCCTGCCGTTCTGCCAAGAAGAAGCATCAAAGCGATTTGGATCGAGTTGATGTTCAAACCCTTTGACCCCTGCTGGCACATAGAACCCTGGCCGGTCACAAGCTAAGGCAGCACGGATCCTAGCCAGCCGTGGCGACGTCAGCCAATATCAACCATGATAAATGATAAACCCATGAAGACGAAGCCATGTCCCAATGACGCTCAACCTTCTGGGCAACCATCAGTCAGTCTAGCAGGCTCTTCATGAAATGCTTGGAAGATTATATCCCGACCAAGATTGCTGCAACAAGGTCACCCAGGGACAGAATCACACACCAAAAGCTTTTGGACCAGTGCAACAATGTGTCAGGTTCACACGGGCCAGGTCCCAAGTAGTTCAGGCAAATGGCCTGACGTAAAAAAGGGTAAAAGGGTCAACGTGGCGTATTGTGGTGTCTTTGCGTTTACCTGTTTACCTCTTTGTTCCAGTCAAATCCCGAAGATTGTGAAAACATCTGCATTCTTCTCCGACCCCCCCCAACTAGCTCAAAATCTTAAGGTGTTGATGTGGCTACTAGGAGCAAGGACGCTACTAGGGGCTCCTGGCCGTACTACTAGGAACAAGAAGCTACTAGGGGCTCCTGGCATCGCTACTAGGAGCAAGGACGCTACTAGGGGCTCCTGGCATCGCTACTAGGAGCATGGGAAGGACTGGGTGAGCCGTCGGGTATATGGACGGTATGGATGGAAGAGCTCAACCTCAAAGCTCGGAACTGGCCCACCCTGGTCTCCGACCCTCCAAAAGCATTAGATTTGCCATTGCTGTTACGCAGAGTCAAACCAAATGCGGAAAGGAGTGTATAAATGTGACTACCAATCTGAACAATCAAACAAAATGTGAGGGGCTTCTGTGTATGAAGTGCCTAATTGACAAAAACAAAACTGAAACGTGGCAAAACAGCTTTGTGAGAACCTTAAGCCCATATCCTAGATGTCTGTTTGCCTTCACATGATTGGAACAAGCCATTGAGTCGAAAAGTCAACCACCCATATATATATATATATTGTAAAGAAACATTGCTGTTACTGTGGCACGGTAGCAAGTTCCCTCTGTAATGACGGCGGCTTTGTTGGAGTTCCACTGATGCCTACAAACAATGAAACCGCTAGTTGCACTTGTCTGTGCTTGGTTTTACAACCATGCTGAGGCTCTAGCGCCAACATTTACAAAAGGGGTTCCAAACTGGGACTGTTTGACCCACAAACCAAGCATCACATAATTACTACACATGTTGCATTAAGCCTAAGCAACACAGGATCGCGGAACGCAGCCCTGTCCACGGCCTTGCCTCTACACCTCCATGGGCACTGGGGCATTTAGCTCGATATCGTTGATGACAATCAACTCGCTTTTGAAGTAGTGATGACATCCTCACGTTGAGCTTTTGCAAAGCGAAGTGGTTGGTCTTGCCCTTCTAGCAAACTGGCTTTGAAAATAACGTTCTGCGATGCTTTCATGTTGCCAACATCTGACTTCGTTGGACTCAGACATGCCAAACATCCTATGAAAGTCGGGTTCAAACTGGTGCGGGGTTTAATGGATGCTAGAAGAATGGTATTTTTGAAAAGGGCAACTCAACAAATGCGGCTCAACATCCTAGGCCGAATTCAACTGCCGTGTCTCCTACTTACTGGAGACCACATAACTTAACGGCTAACCGACCACAAATTGTAATATGTAATCCAACTGCCAGAAGGAGGCGTCGATTTGGCAACCGGATATGCGGTTACGGGTCTCCTGACAAGTAACTGTATCCAAGGATTCAGGGTTAGTAGGTTCAAGGTCTGTCTTTGGAAACGCGGGCTATCTACTGGAATGGTAGCTGGATCCACTGCAAATCGCCTTCGGAGTTCCCGGAGAGTCTATCCACGCCAAGCAGCGGCACACCGGGCACTGCACAGACTCTGGGCGTTTGTCACCCTCCTGAGGCGGAATTCCAACCGATGTGGCTCAGACCCCCACAACTATACTACTACCATTGCCAGCACAAAACGTAAAGTGTATACATGATTATACATGTACTTGTTACAAACGTATCATTGCTATACATGCAAAAGAATCTACGTTAGCACTACCCTTTCAAACTCCGACCGTCGGGCAACTGTCGGTCCTTCCGCCGTTTTTTGGTGCACCATTCCATGATGCATTCCTCGGAGGGCCACAGTTTTCATCGGATTTCGCATGTGGAACATCGCCTGGGGTGCCTCAAACTGGCGCCTGGTTGGAGTCCGACTTCATGCATCTCTGACGAATGCGAACAACAACATCTAACTAATTGATGCCCAAAGAAAAACACTTGAGACTCTTCTCCTCTGCCCCAGTCTGCGAGTTCCTGATCGATCCTTCAGCCGGCGAAGTATGTTCAAATATAAATACCACAGGCCAATGCCCAAAGGCCTCACAAACAGTGAACAACGATACTTCCTTTATGAATAGGACGTGTGCTAAGCGCTGCTATGCCGGCTCAAATCAAACACATCCAGGATGTCCAAGTGTCCGTGTGATAGATGTGGTTGCACTTCAACTTCTTGGCATGCTCACAGGGCTCGATGTCATCCAAACCTATGCCGGCCAGGAACCGCAAGAGCTTCAACCATTGAAGTTCAATGAGGATCATCCAAGCAGCTGGGCCAGGTGAAGCATTTATTGTACTTCTAGTTGAGGGCGCGTTTTCCACTGCGGGGTTCCCATGGGGTTCCCATGAAAAGTCTGCAATTATGTCAATCATGTTTCATCCTTTTGTTAAAATACTCGATGTTTTACAACAATTGGTGCTGGATGTCCATAACCCACTGAGCCATCTCTCAATGAAAGCCCTCCGAATAGAGCAGGGCGCAACCTGAAACCAGAAGTGTCCCAAAATCTTAGGATCGTGCAACAAAGTTGGCATCTCCCCGCTGCCCAAATTGGTCGAGAACCTGTTTTTTTCAAGCATGGTTTTAGGACTTCACGCTCGGTACCATAGAAAGGGGCCTTAAAACAGAAGCTGCTTTGTGGGTCTGTCAGACGAGGAGCAAACGGGACAAGTGTGCTCTTCCCCATCGCCTTTGTCAACCTTCACATCTGGAAGGTGTTCTTGAATGGCCTTTTCGAGGTCTCTCCTCGGCCAAAAACAGACCAAAAGTTCACGGCCATCTCGCAGCATCACGCTGAAGTGGGTAGGAAATGGCCCAAATTGCACCAAAAGTCCAATGATCTTGGGAATAATTTATACGATTCCAAAGGGATTGAACCTCCACATGCCCAGATTGATTCCAAGAAATGCACACCGATCATGTCCAAACACATAGACGCCGGGCGTGACCACCAGAACACCTCGAATCAAACAACTGGCATCGAGAAAAGAAAAAATATACAGTAATAACACACTCTATGACAATGCAGAATGGATGAACTTTGTTAATGTATGTTAATATATATATATGTATATGTGTGTGTGTTTTGTGTATTTGTAGTTGGGCAGGTGAGATGTACTAACTGTGGTCTTGTCAAAACCTCAAAGGCCTTCTCTAAAAAACAACAGCAGCAGCAGCAACAAAAACAGCAACCACACCCTCAACGTCAATGACGACGACGACCACCACCACAACAACAACAAGGTACAAACAAAAACTGCAGCCCCGTTACAAGATATCTTGTTCCTTTGTCTCTACAAGGGGGTGGAAACAAAATCTGCAACCCCGTCGTTGTTACTTTGACCCCCCCTGAAAACAACCAGCCAACATGGACTTTTACTAGTAGTGGTAGTGCTTGTACTAGTGCTAGTACTAGTAGTAGTCGTTGTTGTAGTGGTCGTAGTAGTAGTAGTAGTCGTCGTCGTCGTCGTGGTAGTGGTAGTAGTGGTAGTAGTGGTGGTAGTGGTAGTGGTAGTAGCAGTAGCAGTAGCAGTAGTGGTGGTGGTGGTGGTAGTCCGGCCAGCTAAGCCTCTGTAAAACTTCTACTTAGAACCTCTACCACATCCTAGAGACAAAAACTGCAGCCCCGCTGTTTTTTTTGAGCCCCCCCTCAGAAGATGTTGTTGTCTCTACCCCCCCTAGAAACAAAATCTGCAGCCCCGTTGTTGTTTTTTGACCCCCCCCTCCAGAACTTGTGGCCCAGAGGGGGGTGGCGAAAGCTAGGCAAAGAAACAACGCTGGGGCTCTTTTAGGCAGCAAAAGCCTGGCCGGGAATCACAACATGCCATGGCCAAGGGAAAAGGAGAGTGCCAACAGCGCCCCCCCCAATATGACCCCAACACAGCCAGCACATGGCAACACACAACTACCCCAGCAACCGCAGCAGCAGCAGCAGCAGCCACAACAACAATAACTGTAACCAGCAGCGGCAGCGGCAGCAAGCAGAAGCTACCAAGCAGCAGCAGAAGCAGCAGCAGGAGTAGCTAGCAAGCAGCGGCACCAGCTACCAAGCAGCAGCAGCCGCAGGCAGCAGCAGCTACCAAGCAGCAGCAGCAGTAGCAGCAGCAGCTACCAAGCAGCAGCAGCTGCTACCAAGCAGCAGCAGCTGCTACCAAGCAGCAGCAGCCGCTACCACGCAGCAACAGCTGCTACCAAGCAGCAGCAGCAGCAGCAGCAGCTGCGACCAAGCAGCAGCAGCTGCTACCAAGCAGCAGCACCTGCAACCAAGCAGCAGCAGCAGCTACCAAGCAGCAGCAGCAGCAGCAGCTACCAAGCAGCAGCAGCTCCCAAGCAGCAGCAGCAGCTACCAAGCAGCAGCAGCAGCAGCAACCAAGCAGCAGCAGCAGCAGCAGCTACCAAGCAGCAGCAGGAGGAGGAGGAGGAGCAGCAGCAGCAGCAGCCCCAGCAGCTGCTACCAAGCAGCAGCAGCAGCTACCAAGCAGCAGCAGCAGCTACCAAGCAGCAGCAGCAGCTACCAAGCAGCAGCAGCAGCAGCAGCTACCAGGCAGCAGCAGCAGCTACCAGCCAGGCAGCAGCAGCAGCAGCTACCAAGCAGCTACCAAGCAGCAGCAGCAGCAGCAGCAGCAGCAGCAGCTCGAACAATAGCACATATGGGCGCTGCCTGAGTAATTGTAGAAGGGCGACGTGGAAAAACAGATATATATGATATATCTGTTTTTTCCACGAATAAATGCTGACGTTGCAGCCAGCAGCGGTGTGCATGATTGACATCTAGGGGTTGCATGCGAACATGTGTCAGCGACCGAAGACTCCGTCGCAACGCTTGTGCATGCTCCCCGTCGCTCGAACATGGAACGCGGACTACCATGAGTGAAGCAAACAGCCCGTTCAAACATCTTACTGGGTTCTGTCATTCATGTGTGTAGTAAGTATCACCTTTTGATCTGCATGGATAGCGGATAGTGCATTCTGATTTGTACTCTTGGGGGTTGTGGGGTGGGTACATGCCTGTACAAGCTTCTTAAGGATATATATATATATATAATGAAATTAGCATCGTTTCACGACTCAGAGGGAATGCAACTACTCTCGATTCTAACGAATAGGCTTTCTTCAGCACCAACAGCAGCCAAGAACCCCAAACAGCAACAGCAGCAAAACGGAGCAGACAACAAGCAGCATGCAGCCAGCATCCAGCAGCAGCAAGCATGCAAGCAGCAAGCAGCAGCAACCAGCAAGCAGCCAAGAGCACCCAGCAGCACCAAGCACGCAAGCAGCAAGCAGCAGCAACCAGCCAAGAGCCAGGCGCAGATGAGATGCCAGCAGCAGCAGCAGCAGCGACCAAGCAGCAGCAGCAGCAGGTACCAAGGAGGAGAAGGGTGGAGTTGAACCCCGCGAGGGGGGGGCGGAGGGGGGGGGGTCTAGTCTTGATATATCAGGTAATAGCACTCAGGTCCTGGGCTCCCACCCTCCTTGCTAAAGCAAGACAGACTCCAGCTAGCTACAGCTAGCTTTCGTGACAACATCCCAAAAAACAATCAAAGAACAAGAAACAGACCAACCAAGACTTGAGTACCACAACGACAAGAAGTCCAGCTACTAACATCTCTCCAAACCTTCGACCCTATCCCTAACAGTGTCCCTTTGACATCCCTAACTTGCAACATGTGACAACTATGTTGGGCAGCTGTTTTTGTCTCTACCAACAACAACAACAACCACAACCACAACCACAACCACAAAACATAAACAACGACAAGTGATTATATATAAATACATCATGGATTTGGACCGCACCTAAAAGAATCTTACAGTAGCAACCGGGAAAACTGGAGAAAATCACTATAAGTACGGTATATTACGGTATCATATGATTTCAGATCCTTCTCCGCAGCCGCCGCCGGCCATTTCTTCGGTAAATCCCCTATGCCTTCCCATCTGTCTGGTGATGTTTGGTTCTACTCTGCAGCTGGGTGTCCTTTCCTCTTCCGTGAGCTCTGCGTGGGAAGACACACGAATTTCACCATGGCAGCTGCCAGTGAGGAACCTTACGATCGAGGCTTGTCATCGGAGTTGAGAAACCACCGCGCCGAAACAATGTCACCGTGCTTTCAGCCCTAAAGGCCCTAAGATCTCACAACAGATCTGTGGAGTTTGTGGGCACCATCGCAGGAGTGGCCCCTCCGCTTGATCAATATCCCACTGCCACTGCCCCTGGCACCTCCTCTGCACAATGAGGAAGTGTAGTCTAGAGTCTAGAACAAAGTCCGGAAAATGAACTATAGGAAAGCACCTCATATATGCAATATCAAATGTAACACATGTGCCCAAACAGTCGGTATTCAACCACATCTTTCGCAAGGTAGCAAGGCTTCTGTCGGTTCAAATGCAACACCATCCAAACTGTCCAAGCAGGCCTTTTCTATGGCTCTGGCATCTGAGAACCCTGTTGTTTGTTATGGCTTGATGCGTTCCCTGTGGCATCAAAGGACCTATGGTCCTTCTGGAGCTAAATCTCTCACGGCCCATGGGCGACACAACAAGCATCGAGCAAATAGTGTTTGTATGTGTTTTTTAATGTACTGTATGCGTTTGGCGGTATATGAACATATGTCCAGGCATATACGGCACCTGTTGCCCTCGAATATGCCTTGGCAGGGCCTTGCTCAGGACGGTGACAGGGCAGTCGCTGCGTGCATTGAACGCCGCTGAGGGCCCCGAACTATAGCCCAAACAGCCAAACAGCACCCAAGCCGAAAGTGGAGGCTGAAAGCGGAGGCAAGCTTGCAGCTTGAGCTACCATGGGCAGGTGGGTAGGTAGGCGCCGACCAACCTGTGGGTCACTGAATCCGAGGCGCCGCAATAAGCCAATGAAGAAGAACATCAGTAGCAGCACCTTGGATATGCATCCCTGAGGTGCATCACGAGCGGGCTTGGATGGATGTGAGCCAAGCAAGGGATGGTCAAATCCCAATGGCACTTTGTGCAGAAAAGGTGATCAACAATGATAAACATGGGAAAAATGATCCAACCCCCACCAGTCCGTGGGCGCCTCAGAACAAGGAGCCTTCGACACTCTAGCTCGTGCTTTTAGTTTGGATAATTTGCTGATTGGTGGATGTTGCTGTTGCCATTGGTGTGGGTGTTGTTGAAGCTGTTCCCCTGTTTGAAGACAACGGCCCACCAAAACCAACGCATTTGGTCATTGTAAACGGGTTCGCTTTGCATGGGGCTACAAGCCCGCAACATTTCGTCGCCGAGGTACGGTGAAGATACTGCAAAAGCACATCACCACGATGAAAAAGGAATCAAAGACCATGGTGGAGAGTCCTCCCTCGAGATCAAAGGCCGAGGTTCGCCACCAAGAAAATCAGAAAATACACCAACTCATGTGTCTGAGCTGCTGATCGATTTTGCATCTCATCATGAATCATCCTGGGTACATCATTACATGTCAATTCACATGATGCTCTTGACTCTTGACAAAATGACGAGCTGAGCTAAATCCTCTGATGAGGTGGACCGGCCAGGCTGCGGAAGGGGAACTTTCCAGGATAGGGTTGTAAAATGTTGTAAATGCAATTCATTCTACTTCAACATGTGCTCCTAACGGTCCTAACGCATTCTATGTAAAAGAGTGCGACCAGGTCACCCAAATTGGTGAATTTCTGGACTGTCTGCATTCAACGTGCAGCATGAGTGGAGTGGCAATTGTTCTGGTGTCAGTGTCGGCTTGGAAGAAGAAAAAACATAAAAACCATCCTCGTCCTGGACCAAAGCAGCGCCTAAATAGAATCCATGGAAACAACTTGGATTTTCTGCAAACATCGTCCATTCGACTATGCAGGCGTCTTTCGAACCCATTCTGAATGGCGCATACATTGGAAACGTCTTCATTAGCTTTCCTTTCTATACTGCAGGATATATTCTGCAGGATAACCGAGGGTGGCAGCTGTTCGCTTTTGTCAGGAAGTGTCAATGCCACTGAAGGGCACACAGGGTGATCTGAAGCAACCAGCATTCTCGTGAACCTTGCGAGACCCCAAATACATATGTATATATATATATATATATTTGAGTGGGTTTGAGTGAATCCACTGTGAATGTGCAATCAGGTTCCTTCTCCAAGTTGCTGGCGTCGCTGAATGTTACACATATCTGCTAAGAGTACTTCAACCTTTGATTGGCCGACGAGTGTCACATGAAAAATGACGGTCTGTCTTGCAGCCTCCCCAAACCGAAAACAGGTCTTGGGGGCATGTTAGTGCTCAAACATCCCGATCTGAAACCTGCCTGGCACCAGCTGTTTGTCACCTCGAGGAGGGGCTGCTACAAAGGTTGCTGCAAAAATGGTGGAAAACGTGCCAAAACAACGGATGAAAGAAACAACAG